ATAATAAAAGAATACGATCTTATTTAAGCTCTTAATATAATTCTAATGGGGAGAATACAAGCTAAGAAAAACTAAAAGGAAATACAAAAGAAAGCCATTTACTGTTGCCTGTAATGTAGATACTTTATACTGGATGACTTTGGCTTCACACCAAACAGGAAAATAAGAATAGTCAAAGGTTAAAGTGAGATTTGGCAGGTGTGGGATCCGTAAGAATGGTTGTATAGTACTAGTGTTGTGTGGGGAAAGAAATCACTTAGAAATGGGCCACAATAATTTCTATTGTGTGCTTTAATAGATTTTTTTGTGTGTGTACAGGCTGTGATAGGTGAGCTGTACTCCTGCGCTTTGTGTAAAGAAATTCAGCAAGATATAGGCAGATGCTACACGAGCTATTGTGGCTAATTAATCACTGCTAGACGATATAAAGCTAGTATAAAGGTGGAATTCATTGAGTTTATCTAATTATCATCTTAAATTCAAATTGGTCTCTGTAACCGTTGAAACCAAACACTGATCATGATCACACCACAGGTCTCTACACCAGTCTAAAATAGTCTCTAAACTTCAGCACAGTACTGAAAGGTGACCAGTGTAGCCTGTGTTGTATTTTCATCCAGCTGTAAAATATTCACTTTTCAAACACTTTTCAGACTTCAATTTGTTTTTCAGGATGTTTCACAATATGAAAAAAACGTCTACAACACATCACGTACTGACCCATTACTGTATATGATAAAAAGTAAACTCTAAAATGAAATCAGAAATTTTATGCATGCTTTAAACTTCCAGTCTATAAAATGTGACTGAGCAGTCTTTACCTTTAAAAACAAACGATTTTCCTCTTTCTCCATCGCTGAATGAATTTATGTCTCATTTTCTTCTCTCCCTGTGAAATACAACAGCTATGGCTTTAGCTAGCATACACAAACTGCACATAACCCGTTTGTTTGTTTGCTGATATTTGTTGAGCTGTTTGAAAAAGCTTCGTTTATTCCGGATTATTCCGGCCCATTTCAACTCCATCAGCTCCATAGTGCAATAAATAATGTATAAATTAGGTATTCTGTGTCTCTTTCATCTCTGTGTCTTTTATGTCAGTCATGCGTAATAAGCCCTGATAATGGATACACCAATAGGATTGTCTTTTATATATTATTGTTCCCTCCATTTAGGTTCAATCGATTTGATGTTTTTAAAGTGCACAATAGTCTGGAAAAATGACTTCCATCAAATTTGTTGAATGTAAAGTAACAAGCTTGTTGTAAAAATGTAAAGAGTAGAAAGTACAGATATTTGTCTGAAAATATAGGAAGTAAAACTGAAAAGTTAATATAAATATTCAAGTAAAGTTCAGATACCTGGAGATTCTAACCTAATATTTGTACTTTATTACTCACCACATCTGGTTTTAAGCAAACAAGATGAAGTACACATTTTAGAGCATATGCAAATGCGTTCACTTGATGAGGTAAAGTTATTGGATGTCCCTAACTTTGAATATTTTACTGCTGGTATGTTGTAGCTGTGGAGGTTTTTGATTTTTCAGTGGTGAAACTATTGTGCCAGTTCGGAGTGATATTGAGCTTCCTTCATGATTCTGTCCTTTGGATGCTTGCTGGCTGGGTAGGTGTGAACAGCTATCCAAGTTTACCCTCTCGTCTCTTTGTCTCAGTGTCTCACGGTCTCCCTTTCTGTCTTTGATGTGTCAGTTGAGTAAGGCCGGAGTAGGGCAGGCAGCCATATCCATCAGCTCCATCCATCAAGCAGTGGGACGGGTGGCAGAGAGAGGATGACGGGCAGCAGAGAAGGGGCAGATGTTTTGCAGGAACTGATATGCTCTCACATCCATGAGGGATGTCATTACGCGGCCGACAGAGAAACATGTAGCTGATTAGTGCCTTATTAAGTCAAGGACACTGGCTCGCAGTAACATACACCGGTGCCATTTTGGCTTGTGGTGCTGATGGCTTGCCAGTCACTGACAACATGAGTGCCTCAGACAGATAACCTCTCTTTCTAATTAACTGCTTCTCTGTTCTTCAACTCCAAGTTCCTTTTTTGTCCATCAAGCAGCTCTGGAATAAAGCTTGCCATTTCAAGTATTATTTCCTTTTTCTTGCTCAAATGGAAGAACCCAGAGGTGCACGAGGCTTGTGGATTTCTCTCTGAGAACCACACTGTGTTGTGGTAAGTAAATAAAGCAACGTCTCCCTGAGGGCATGTAAGGATTGTAGGAACTGAGAAAAGTGGACAGTGCAGCTTTAGCCCTGATCCAGCACAGTGGCTAAAATGATAATGTTGAGAATCTTATCTGTGTCTTGTGTTTTCTCCTTTAGTCGGATCTTTCGAGTTGTCCTCTGTTTCCTCTCGACAATAAATCCTGCCATGTGTTGTTAGAAATATGTATTTACTTCAAATCACATTGGCTTTGTTCAGCACTCTCCTTTGTTCTCTTTTCTTCTCCTGCCTCTAAGTTTTTATCAGCTGTATGTTTAATACGCTATAGCTTGCCACATCATAAACTGCAGCGATGTGCGTCTGCATTTCATGTGTTTTGAGTGGTTAGAGCAATAAATGGGCTCAGGGTTATGAGAACAGTGAAAAATACAGGCAATGGTGGACTGGTTAATAGGCCTCAGGATGGCTTTACTGAAATGTAATACTGTTTCACCAACAGCACACTTTTATTTGGGAAAGAGAGATAATATTTCTTTGGACAGTGCTGATTAAATGTGTTGTGCAAGAGAAAAAATGAGTGCTACTGAAGAGACTAGCTACAGATATTAATCTAATTTTAGGAAACATGATTATTGAATCTGGACTTGTTTTGCCCATTTTTTTTCAATCATCCCCAAGGTACTGCAACATCAAGACCAACAACACAAGGAACTAAAGATGTCAGAGGATAATAGATGCTCCAACCTGACTAAAAAATGACAAATGACTAAAAAAATGACCAAAAAGAGAAAATGTGTCTTTTTTCTTGTGCGCTTGCAGTAAAATCTGCTGATTTTGGTCTGTGTGAAGGGAGGAGGACGGCGATTGAGGGGTCTATAACTTTCGGGGAATGGACATTACTTTTATTTTGTTGAATGCACGAAAAGACAGGTGATGCAAACTTCATCCATCACAGAAACAGCTACATTATTTTATTTTACCGTCAGGCTCAGTCACTGCTGATGAGTTCATAGTCTCAGACATTCATCTGAAGTTAGAGCCAAAAAGATGGATAATTCAGAGTATGGCTCAACATGACAAGCCTCCAGTCTGTGAATGTAAAGTTGGTGCTGTGGTGTCTTAGGTTTTAGTTGCACAGGCTTAGCACAATCTGAAACTACAGGTCATGACGGAAAAAACTTCCCAAACTGGATACAAATGGTTGCTGGTAGTCACTGTGAAATCAATTGCTAATGTCCCATTTATGCAGGCCTAGACTTGTCAGTGACCCCCGGTAACCACTGGTTGATAGGAAATTAAATCTGCAGCCAGTTGGAGAGTGGTTGCTGGAGATTGCTGGCAGTCACTGGCGTAAAACTGGTTACAATAAAGGTACAGCATCAACAACCTCTGCAATCACTTTGGCCACCTGTAGTTTGCATACAGCACACACATCTTTTCAGCAGAAGGGCACAGCTTCCACTTTTAATTTCTGATTTTCACCCTGTAGTTTCACTACAGCTCAGAGAGTCAAAGGGAACGTATTTGCCATGGTGCACAAAGTTTTTGATGTAGCATGCTCTTTGCCTCTAATTTCACCTGGCAACTGCCACTAACCTCCAGCAATGTCATATGGTTGGGGAATCTGCATATTTCCCCTTTAACTGGAGGTTGGCAGCAGATAGATGTTGAGTATGGTTTTGCTGGAAGTTTCTTCCTCTTGAAAATGAGTTTTTTTCACACTGTTGCCAAGTGCTTGCTCATAGGGAGTCGTCTGATTCTTGGGGTTTTCTCTGTATTATTGTACGGTCTTTTTCTTAAGGTGACTGTTGTTGTGATTTGGTGCTATATAAATAAAACTGAAGCGACTCCACATATCTTACTTGCAGTCTATGGTTAGCTGAGGATCATAGACTGCAAACCACTTCTGAAAATTTATACTGTAGATCAGTGAAAGGCAAAAACATTGGTATACTTTTTTTAGTGCATTATTTGACAGTTGGGTAATCACAGTTTTCCAATGTGCACACTGACACTTTAACTTCCAAATAGAGTGGCTAAGGTGTTCTATTTAAACTGCTTGTTTCATTTTAAACTTTGCTGAACAAAGAAACCATTCCTGAGAGAAATGATGGCAAAAACTGCAAGTTGAAAAAGTCCACCCAAACGTGTCATTTGCATTATAAATAACGAGCCATTATAAAGGGAGCTGTGCCTTATAGTGTTTTCCCTTCTCTTCACTTCCTACTTGCTGCTCTCAGTTATCTCTGCCTTTGGCTGGCTGTGGGAGCTGACTTGCTCTTGATTTTTCCACCATCTCTCAGCAACGTGTCAGGTCCAGTTTAGCACTTGAGGGCAGAACGTGTCAGAATCACAGCCCCCTCTCTCTCCAGGCTGTCTCGAACCCAAGGTGAGTCAGGCCTTGTCACCACTCCTATAAAGACATAACCCATCACATGGCGCTGGTAGATGGCCAGTAGTTAATAGCCCTGTTGTGATTCGCCAGGGAAAATACTCATCTGCTGAAGAGAGCAATCACTTAGAGCAAGGTTGGGGTTTTATGGGTTTAGAAGGGAGGTGGATGCTCAAATGTAAATCTGCAGAATCACAGCATGTCTGAGCTTTGGCACACACTAGGCGAATAAAATCCTAAATCGAAAGACAGCTTGTGGTGGAGATATGAGTTGAAATACAAGCACAGTTGAGGCTGCGAGCGCAAGGCACGAACATTTTGTGGAATGGCGAAACTTCAAGTTGAGAATCCACGGATCTGCACCGGTGACTTAGAGACAAATTCCTGCACAAGTCACTGACTTTGTGTTTGTGTGTCCTCTCTCTAGAAAGAGTTCCTGGCAGCTACAACTGAAAAGGACATCTTTGCCCATCTGGGTCTCGAGTACATCGAGCCTTGGCAGAGAAATGCGTAGGCCTCCGCTCCTCCTTGGCTGGATGATACCCTGTGCATACATCAGTGTTTATCCCATCTGCTTGCCGTTATGTGGCTCTCCTGTGATTCACTTTCAAACAGCTTTTGATTTCCATACACTTTTGTGTTGTTGTTGTTGCCAATATTGTTGTTGTCTAGATTACATGACGACGTGTGATTCATAATTCTGCTTATTCACTATTGTCTGCCAGCAAATAAACATTCTCCCGTACCATTCACAGGCTCCTGTCTCTAAGTGTTGTAATCATAGGCAGGATAAAAAGACTAATCAGTCAGTATGAATCGCCTGGGGTGCCTGTGAGGTGCAGGAGAAAGGGAGCCTGAAAGAAACAAGGCAGTAAAGGGGGTGACCACTGAGAAAAAGGGAGGGAGAGGAAGAAGACAGGAAACGATGAGAAAAGTGAGGGGGAAGGGAGCTCTTTGTCGAGCAAAATGTTGTAATCACCCTCCTCCTGGCAGGAAAGTGCTCAGTGTGAAGCTGAGCCAGGTCTTTGGGGGATTGAGAGGCGGGTAATGAGCTTCAGCTAGAGGAGCGTTCCGCGTCGCCATTTAGCCTCCATTTAAGCCTACGTCCACTGGAGATCATTTAGCTGGCATTCCCCTATCCAAAGACCAGTCGTCTCCTTTCTTTGTTCCCCGATGAATCCACTTCCCCAGATGCTTGGCTGAAATTAGAGGCAATCAGCTACAGTGGGAAATCAGGAAGAATTCAGAAGGAAGGTAAACGAGCTTGCTGAACACACAAATGGAGTTTGGCTGCCAAAGCGATTCTGTCTCCCCAGCATCCATTATCTTATTGCTTTGACTTTGCTTATGTTTTATGTATGGCGGTTGTTTATCAGGATTTGTGTCCTTTTTTCAGGACGGTGATCCTCTAATGAAGAACCTTTATTGATCCCCGCGGGCTGTTTGGGTACGTCTGATTTGCTCCTTTAGTGATGACATGACCTGCCCTGCTGTTCATCCCCCAACCCACTTTCCTCTTGATGCTCAGCCTCCGGTTTATCCCAGGATGCTGCAACAAGAGCAGAGACAGATGAGAGCAAAGCATTCTAGTGAATCACCCTATTTAAAGATTTTTAAGTAGAACAGTCCGGCGCTTTGAGGACTTGACCCAGGCCTCCCCTTCTCCCACCTCTTTCTACTTTCTCCCTCTTGGCCTCTGTCTTTCTCTCCCGCTGAGCTGCTCTTTCAACCTTGCTGACACAAAACAAACTCTAAAGCTTCTGAGCTGCAGCGTTAACCAGATGGAACAGGCTCCCTGATCTCCAGGGTTATCTAATGTTTTCACTTTTAAAACGAAGGCGGATCCCCTCTGCCCCAAGCCCCACAGAAATCGTCTCTAAATTTCTCTAGAGTAAAATAAAAACCAAGCTGACCTCAATAAATGTACATTTGTTCAGCTCTCTTTTTCCTAATTGTTGTTCAAGTGCAAATTGGATCTTCTGATACTTTCACATTAAAAATTCACAAGTGTAAAGGGATTAAAAGGCTATAGTTCTCAATTTAACAACAGCATTGTTGTTGTGCTCTCAGAAGACCTTAAACTGTTTGCAAAGCTGAAAAGCAAAGATTTGAGTACAGCGGGGTAATGCTGCGTGCTCCTATAAGAGTTAATTTTCTGTGGAGCAATACAAGGTCTGATCAAAAGTTTCTTAAAAAAAATCAAAACCCATACCTGATTTAAATTTAAAAATCAGTTTTTCATTTCTTTGCACACATATGGACGACTTCCAGTGCTTCTGTTATATTTGAAGTGCTCCCTGGAAGTCTAATCACTTGTATGAGTTCACCTGCAACTTTGCAATGGTCCTAATCAAACAGCAGTTGCACAGTAAATGAAAGAGTCAGCAGTCATGTGATAAGAGCAGCATGAGCTAGTTGTTTTTTTTGACATGAACATTGATTTTGCACAGTAAATTTGTCCCCAGAAATCAGGCTACCTATTTTCTACCTGGAGCAAAGCAGTTCACATATGGCCCGCATTGTGGAGAGCATCGTGTGTACCCTCTTACATTACTTTGACCTATCAAACATAAACAGTTTACCAACCAACCAGAAAGCATGCTTTGGTCCTCTGCGTCTTCTCTTCCTCCAAAATAAATAATCATGTCAACAACTTCCAGTTTCACACCTTCCACTGGGTAAAAAGTAGAAGCTGCTTTGGAAGATGTATGAGGAGACTACTTTGAAAACTAGCTCAACTAAACAGTTTTTGTTTAGTCTGGTTCTGCAGGAAGTTTCTTCCTGTTCAAAGGAGGTTTTTCCTTCCCACTGTTACCAAGTGGTTGCTCAGAGGGGGTCAATTGATTGTTAAGGTTTTCTCTGTATCATTGTAGCATCCTTACCTTGCAATATAAAGCACCTTGAGATGACTGTTGTTGTGATAAATATATAATATTATTATTATATATGAATACAACTGAACTGAACTGAATTGAAACTATGAGTGCCTAAGAATAGACTTATGGCTCAAGTATCAGTCCAGTCAGGTTATACATAATTTAAGTGCATAGTATGAATACACCATCCAGTCATAGGGTGAGAGGCAGGGTACACCCTGGCCAGGTTAACAATTTTTTGTAGGTCTAACACAGACAGACATATCTCACCTTCACGCCCACAGCCAACCTAATCCCATGCATTCATTGGACTGCGGGAGGAAGTGAGAGTACCCGGAGAAAACTGAAGAAATACCCCATAGATGCCAGTTGTGTAGCATAAATGTTTCCCACCTGTCATGAGCACTTCACAGGTTGGGGTTTTGTAGTATGGAGTTTTACAATGGGGATGTTGTTTATATGATAAATCAGTAACAGTCTGCCCAGCTTGTTTGACAGTGTAAATGATCATTTCATTATCTGAACAAATCCTGGCATTTATAGCTGAACCGCCACAGAATGAGCACAGCCAGGTGACTGACAGATTTTACTATAAACTCTGATATAAGGCAAATTTCTGACCAGTCCATGAATTGATTAAATATGGACAAGGATATATTAGCCATATTTAGGATGGTTAAAAGATTAGCTGAAGGAAACTATTACACACCACTGCACAAATTTAAAAAATGGAAAAATTCACAAAGTAACACAGGAGTGTTCTGACAGCTTGTATTAACTAGCTATTGTCCAAAGAGACTGATTTTGCAAAGGTCCAAAACTTAAACCTCAGATCTAGCTAATTTGTTTATTCATCACTTTCAGCCAATCGCATGTGGCCATTTTCTATGCAAATTGTCGCCTTTGGCTCCTCGCTGTCTGGCAAACACTGCCTTTTTTTGCATGCTTGATGTCTGAGGTCTGACTGAGATGACAGATGTGTGAATAAATGAAAAATTGCTTGCCCGAATTTGCATAAAAGTGCTTGATTTGCTGACAAAAACGTATTTTGCCATCCAATCGGTTTTCATTTCTACCTATGCAATCATTTCCATTCCCCAGTTTTCTCTCGGTGACATTCCAGCTCCAAACACCTTCAATCATCTCCATCTGACACCCATTCTTTTAAGTTGAGCAGATCCATCACGGCACAGGAGCTTTGTATTGACATTTTGATGGTATATGCCAGCCGGGTCTCATTCATTTGCTGCATTGAAGCCCAACTCCTGACTTTAACTAGCATGTGCCTTGTAATACATTCATGGATGGATTACTGAATGGACTCTTCGAAAGAGACAAAGAACTAATTTCAACAGTGCAAAAACTATCAGCAAAGACACAAAATATTAGATGGGCAGGGAAAGTGCAAACAAAAGAAATGCATTGGAGCTATAAATGATCAAAAAGTTAGAAACACAAGCTTGTTTTTAAAGCCCTAATGCCATGTACAGTATGAGTGTAGGCCAAAACCCATTATAAATAAAAACGTCTGCAACTTTGAGTCTGGGTGTCTTCCTCCTAGTGGGCCTCCTTCTTATTCATGTCTCATAAGTCATCCATGGATACATTACAATGTAAATTGACATTGGGTCATTCTACAGCTCTACCAATTTGTCACTGCATATATGATGAGGTTGGCTGTGAGAGCTGATGATATTGCATAGATGGGGAGTGCTCAAAGATTAATGGGTGACTCTTTGAGGAGGACACATGTACCTGGGGGAACATCCATCAGCCATAAAGCTTCCCTGGGGATGGTCTTGAGATAGAATATGAAGTGCCACTCTCATCTCGGTTACATGACAAAAGGTCACGATGTGTAAGTGTCTGCACATCATGTGAATAATCATGTGGACACATTCCTCAGAGGTGAGAGCAAGCATCTGTGGATGAAATGCCAGAAACAAAAAGAAAGAGCTCTTTGATTATCGTCCACAGCGTTAATGCAGCAAAGAACATCAGTTTTCATCACAGTTTGAGCCACTGGCGCAGCTATCCTTTCATGCCAGGCATACAGCAACTGAAAAGGAGAGGACCAAAATAGATCAGGACCAAACACTGATAACGTCTGAGCTGAGCTCCTTGAGCAAACTTTCTCTTGTATTGTATCAGAAGACAGTGATTTATTGGCTGTGCTGTAGGGGCTTGAATGCAAGTGTTAGGGCCAGTCAAAGCCAATGGGGGAAGGTGACAGAATAAGGACACTGTGTATCCTTGCCTCTCAAGGCCTGTCACAACGTCAAATCAGCCGATGCATGGCAGTGGCCGACTCTGAAACATAAAAAAAAAAAAGAAAGAGTGAGAAGAGAAGAGCACTGAGACATCTGCATTAAACAGACATTAGAAAGACTTTTAAAGGCCGCCATCATGATAAACATTTCTATTTTAAGCTAATACTGTCTGGCAAGACGACTGGTTCAAACTGGATTTGAATTTCTCCTGAGTTTCTGATGAAAATGAGCAATTTTAATTTGCTTTAGAAAAACAAATGAAATTGGAGACGTGGGTGATCAGCAGAGATGTTTACGCTGGATTCTTAGGGATAATTTCCTCGCAAAGGCATACCCTCCACTGGTGTCACAGTGACTTTCAGCCTCCT